CCACAATGGGACAGCCGGATAGTGAGGGATGGGGCCTGGCATATCCAGGACGGACCATCCCCATAAAATTCGTTTTCTGCCTCGTCTGGATTTGTTCCAGGATCCCGTAGAGCAGTAGACTGGCACTTTAACACGTAAATGGTGGTAGTGGTAAATCAATAATTTATACGCTGCAGAAATGCAATCGTTACTCGTTATATATGCACGAGATTCGCGGTTTTCTGGCTACAAGAGTCAATTAAAACGAGCAGAAAAAAACTCGTTTAGGCATTGCTAAATGCATTAGCAGTCTGACGTTAATCGCGTTTCTTCTCTATTTCAAAAAACATTATAGAAATGAATGCACAACCTCAGATGACAGGCATTACAAATTTTATTAAAAGTATTCCATGATTACTTACACTTGTCAATAAATAAAATTCTTTCCCCAGTCCTATTTTTGGACTTAAATCACACTTACCAATAGCGATGCGGATCTGAGAAAGTGTTCTCATTTAAATACATAAAATATTCACTGATACTCATCGATATATTTAAACATTTCCATACTTTTTGATATCGTATTCCTATACAAACATACACGTTTACAATACTTTTATGAAATACGTTCGATATACATTATTCTCGAAATGAGAACGTACTTTACACAGTCCACAGTTTCGAACAATTAGTATTAAGCCAGCACTGTAAGGCACTCGACACTAGTGCCACTCTCGTAAGGGAAAATTGTGTGCACGTTTCCAAACATAGAACTGTTCTTTTTCATCCTGGGGAATAACAAAAATCTCTTCTATTCAAGATGGCCAGCGATGATCTGTACTTAATTTACATGTAGCTGCTTTCTTGACTAGGATATTAAATACTGTAAAAAATGGCAGTGTTGAAATTGACTAGCTGGACCATCTATTGCTTATATTCTTTCGACGGTAGAGGAGAAATAATTGATAATTCCATATAGGAAAATTAATAATCTTAAAAATACCAATTTATAATTATGAATTAATTAAAATTTGAAAATTAACCATATATATATATATATAAACAATACATTAAAATATCAATGAAGTTTTAACCAATTTAAAGCAAAAAATTACTTCTAATCAAATTACATAACTCGCAATATCACATCTAGCACAAGTGTGTTTGATAATTTTTGGGCCCCACATGGATGATATTCATTCTCCAACAATCTATACCATATTACACAATACCAAAAAAATATGATTCTTTACACAGTATTCGTACCAACCATTAGTTAACAAGACTATTTTACAAGTATTTGGAACAGATATATTTTGTAACTACTTAATGTACATAGCAATCCACAGTAAGATGTCTGCTACGGTTTTAAATTTCAAAGATATGGCATTAATGATGATAATAGTGATTGCTTAAAGATATTTCACCGGAGACTAGATTCGAAGTCTTTCGAGATTTTAAAAGTAGCATAAATAGCAGTTTAATTTTTTGAAACACACGAATGAAAATCATAACTTTTCTTAAAATTTATTCCCATTTGGGATTTGTAAATCATTTTCCATTCGTTACTATTCCGTTATTGAAATTAAAAATTATTTTAATTTAATGGTATTGTTCACTCGTTGAAAAAAGTTCGAATCTAACTCCAAGTTCCTTAAAGAAAGACAGCACAAACATTGAATCTACACTATTTTGACAAACGTGAAATTGTTGTTTGTCTAAAAAGGCATTCACTGACACTTCAAATGACCAACTGTGAAAGTCTTTCGGAAAGAGAATAAATATTGAGCTATAGAGGAATATGCACGATTCTGATACGACACTTTTACAAATACTAAATTACTGGAGAATAGATGAAAGGAAATTATAAAACATATATTGAAAAATTAAGTGCGTGCTATTTAAGAAATATACTGCAAAACAGAGATTCTGTTTGATTTGAATATGCTCAATATCTTAGAAATGCAATAGTTTACTTCACTTCCAAGATTAAATCTTTAATAATCTTGCTCTCTTTTGTAGTATATTCATAGAAATATTCTCACTGCTTTTACACCGTAACAATTTTGTAAAGCATCTACAATTCTAAGCTAGAACAATTCTAAATATTAGATTTATTTAAGTGACAAACATTTTGGAAACAATTATTAAACCTAAGGTTTTGTAACAAAAATTTGCCAACAAATTCTTTGGAGTTTAAGAAATAATTTGATATTATTTATATTTGATACAATATATGTACTATTACGACAACACTAACTTTTAATCACCACCACATTTGAAGTAAAATATATTTTTTCTTTCTTTTCTTTTAGTAAAATATGTCTAATTGGATTACATATTACTAGCAATAAAAACATTTAATGATACCTTAAACAATCTGATCTACTTCACAGCAAAATTGAATAGTTAAATATTTTTCCAAAAGAGTTTGTGATTTTGTTGCACTATTCAATTTACCTTCAACACCAGAAAAATTCTTAACAGTTGTTATCCACACACCAAGAATTTTTTAAAACCAGATTTGGCCTGACACATGACAAATTTTTACGTTTTCATAATGAAAAACTGAAAGCCATTATATTATATAACATAATAAATTAAAACATTAAAAATATACATAATTTTTAATATATAAGCCAAACATATCTAACAGTTTTCATATATTATATTATTTATAAACACTTATATACATACATGCACAGAAATAAATCCTTTACATAAAGAAATATTTATCACAATTTAAAACTTCTGTTGGCAAAATTTGTCAGCTCTACAGATATTTTTTTACTAAAATATTTCAAATTTTTTGATAAAAATATAAAGATAATAATAATCCTTTCACTAAGAACCAGGTAATTGTCATTCTTGTCTATTTAATTCATATATTAGCCAATAATATAAAAAAGTACTTTTATATAAATAAATAGCAGACATAATTACATTTAAAAATAAATAAGAAATATTGCAAAATGTCAAATTTGATACATGCAATTAGACAAATCAAATAAATAAAATTGTGCTATTTAAAAACAAAATGTGTACATTATAGATTTTGTTTTTGATCAAATAGTTTTTAATGAAATGTCTTGCAAGATATTTTGACTAATATCAAAGATTCCAAATTTTAGTAACCACAATATCTTTTAATAGAGATTCAACATTATAGAGATTTTTAACATTGTTTTACACATTAAAATATATTACAAATCACACTATATAACTTCATTCTGATTGCAGCCAATAAACTCAAAATTATACATGTAATAATTTATTTTGGAATAATCTTGCTGTGAAACACAGTTTCACAGACATTTTCTATAAATGAATCATAACTCTTCAGGATATTTTATGAAAAGCTTTCATGCATTAGATGCACTTACACAAGAAAACTTCACAACCAAATATTGCAGTAAGAATTATGGAAAAAATAATTTAGAAATCTCTCTCTCTCTCTCTCACTCTATAAAGCAAGCAGTTCTTGGAACCAATATATTTTTCATAAAGGACTCTATTATTGTGCATTTAAGAATAAAGTACACACATCAATCTTTCATCCTGAAATCCAACACAGTTACAAGTTTATAAAAGTTAAATATGAAGTTAACACTTCTCATACCCAAGCCCCAAAAATCCATTGTGATGTTAAAGAGGAAGATGTTTGATTTGCTTTTTTTCTTTTGTATGTTTGAGCAGCAAACTTATTGGGGCACTTGTGGGAACAAACATAGTGATCTTACTACTATTTTTTAATTTTTAATAGCAACGCCTGTCATCTAGCCAATGATAACAGCTTATATCTATAATATAAATAAATCTAATCTCTTTCTATATTAACCATTTAATAATAAACAATTTAAACTATCAATATCAGGAAGTGCATGAATAATTCGTTTTTTTTTCCTAGGATAACATTACTAGTTTTAGACTAAAGGAGTGCATTATAAAAAAAAGCATAGTTAACTAACAGCTAGACATTCTTTGTTATTACTTTGCTTATTCTAATGTTTGAAAGAAAATTTTATATTTACTAAAGCCATTAATTTATTAAACCGCTACCTTTAAAATAAATTTTAAACAGTCATTCTAAACTAACATGTTAAAAATTTCTGGTTAATAAATCAGAGTATATGAAACAGAAAAAACTAACACGTTCAATATTTTTACAACACAATCACAGGCTATAAGAATCAATTTGCTCGTCCAGAACAACATCCAAGTCCATTTTATCTCCATAAAGCACATCGGAAACGATGGCAGTGAAATAGTTGATATTCTAGGAAAGTACATCTGTAATGTTATGGAATGTTATTAAAATTTTTCTTAATCAACATTTAATATAAACAGGTAGTAATTAGACATTTTTTATACAAACAGAACAACGGAAAAATATTTACGAATACTATTATACATTTATATATAGATAAAAAAAGTTTTATACGATCATCAAGGAAATAACAAAACATCAAATAAAGATAACTATACAATATTTACCAAGATACTATAGCATAATACTGTATTAGAAAACATTCAAATTAATTCATTTCAATAAAACGATCACAGAATTATTTTGCTAAGCTACACAATATGGAAGCACAGAATTTGCATCACATACTTCCGAGCAGTGTAAAAAACGAAATCTTTCAATATAAGACTAATCTTGGGCAGTGATCAATGATAGAGAGGAGCAAATAAGATAAAAAGTTCATTAATGTTATATTTAACTTTCACTTTATTACAAAAATATTGCCATCTGTTTATATTGCAAGCAATGAAAAAGAATTTTGTAAGTATTTGAAATAGCAATATTTGTATATCATTTGCTTTGTTTTTACAGAAATATAATTTCATTTATTTTTAATTTTAAAATTTTATAAAAAGATGATATTATTGTTTAATGTCAAAATGATAGTGTTTAATAAAAAAAAGATAAAATAAATAATGGAAGAAAAGTTTGATTAAGAATCTTAATTTTCTTATAAAGTAGAAAAATACTATTAAGAATGTAATAAATAGTTGTATTAAAATCTGATTAAAAAAAAAGAGTGAAAGTTCATAATACATACAAATATGTATGTATATACTTATATATATCTCTATATATATATAACATCAATGAACTTCCATTTTATAGAATTGAACTTCCTATAATAAAACAATGTTAATTAATATCAAACATTTCTTCATCTTCACTATGAGACTCGTTTTCATAATCATTATTCCATTCTTTTCCATTATTCAATTCATTTCTTGAATCAGAATGGAATGAAGCATGCAATCCACTAGATGATTTGATGTTATGTTTCAGAGTATTTCCTTCCTGAGTTGTATTATTGTTACATGTGCATGGATGAAGCAGCATTGGATAAATTAGGACTTCATTATTTGGTCCTCTGTATATGGTTCCGCAACAAGTTTTCTCTCTAGAATAATTAAAAATGTTTAAATAACCACATTAAACCTTTTTATTCATTAACAAATGTGATTTTAAAATGATTATATTCTAAGCCAACTTCTTTTTTGTATCTCTTCTAGCCCTATTAATAAAGTCTTTCTATCTCTCTGGCTATACAGATTTCAAATGATTTCAGAGAGATGATAGAAGAGAACTCAGTGAAGGTTGTATTTGGTGCTCCTATAAATATAGTATTTGGAGAAATAAAAAGTTTCTAATATTAGAGATTCTAACTTATACTTAAACAAAATTGTTTTATTGAAATATTAACGATAAAATTTCCAAAAATTTTTAGAATTTCTAATTTTAAAGGTTATTACTCCAATAACATAAATTTTTGTTTGAATATGCTATATATTGTCAGAATTTATACACATTCTACTTACCAGGTATTTATGAAAATCTGATATTTAAAAATATTAAACATTTCTAACTTAAACCAGTTATTTATGTTAGGGCTTATCACACCAGTGAATATTAACACAAAATTTCTTGAATTTATTTTATATTTAAGTTTACAAAACAAAGAGATTTTACTATAATTAAACCTAATTTGTAAACAATACACCCAAAATTTCGGAATCTAAAATACTCACTCTTCACTCATCCTTTCAATAAAGATCACAAGATAAAAATACTTAAAGATTACATTATAAAAGGCCAAAATAACCGTGAAGACATCACAATTAAGAAACTGGTGTTATCTCACAAGTGCCTTACAATAAACTTTTTTTCATGTTTTCTGTAACCAAGCCAGCCGTAGAGTTCTACACACAATTACAATGCCTCTGAAGGATCAACTGAAACATTACACCAAATAAAAATAATATGCACTTTTACAATCAAATCCCATAGAAATAGCCGTCACAGTACAAAAATATACATATTTATGCTTCATTTTACATCATCAGTTTTACGTCATTGAACTTCATTTTTACTAATATAATCATATTAGTAAAAATGATTATATTCAATCTTTCCTCATCAATTTTTAAATCCAAATTATCATTAACTCTCTTTTCTTTTTTTAACTTATAAAATTTCAATACATTCATAATATTTATGCTTATTAATATTTGTTTCAAATTTTATGGCTTTTATCAAATCTTTTTCTATTTCACACCTATTTAAATTACAGTGTTTTCTACTGCTGAAGTTTGTGTATTATATTTTATTGCATTAATATGTTCTTTTATTCAAACCTTTAAACATCATTTTGTTTCACCTACATATATCATTCTGTCATTGCAATTATGATTAAATTTATATATAACATTACTTAGATGATAAAATGAAATTAACAATAAATTGTCTTTTTTCAATGTGTCAGTGTCAAGACATGCTAACTTGTTACAAATAAAAAAACTATAAAAAATTTTGTAATATTGATAAGTTAATGGATTTCTAATCATATACCCCTACATTTATGAAAAGAAATACTTTTATTAATTTTATACAAAAAATTATAAATAGAACTAATTCAGAATATAAAAATTAAAGCGAAATTACTCATATTTTAAAAATTTATTTATTAAACCATTATCCAAAACATTTCTGGAGGGTTGGCTGAAACATATTGAATATAATGTTAATAATAATGGAAATGAGAGAGAATATAGTAATAATCAACAGAGTACAAAATATTTTAAACTCACATATGCAAACAGTATGTTTGAAAGAATAAAAAATGAATTAAAGAGATTTAATATAAAATTGGTACCTGATCAGTATAATAAAATACATAAACATATATGTCAAAATAATTTAAATAGAGAGATAAACGATTTATAAAAAAAATAATGTTTCATATAAATTTAATTGTAATTGCAATGACAGAATGATATATGTAGGTGAAACAAAATGATGTTTAAAGATTTGAATAAAATAACATATTAATGCAATAAAATATAATACACAAACTTCAGCAGTAGCAAAACACTAATTTAAATAGTTGTGAAATAGAAAAAAATTTGATAAAAGCCATAAAATTTGAAACAAATATTATACATACCTGCCACGTTTTATTAACTGATTTTCTCGTTGCTCTTTTGTCCAAGGTTTTTCCATGTGCTTATATATGACATGTGAATAAATTTCCAAAAAGGTTTTACCCACTAAGCATAAATATTATAAATGTATTGAAATTTTAAAAGTTAAAAAAGAAAAGAGAATTAATGATAATTTGGATTTAAAAATTGATGAGGGTTGGTATGATTATATCAGTAAAAATGAAGTTCAATGATGTAAAACTGATGATGTAAAATGAAGCATAAATATGTACATTTTTGTACATATTTGTACTGTGATGGCTATTTCCCTGGGATTTGATTATAAAAGTGCATATTATTTTTATTTGGTGTAATGTTTCAGTTGATCCTTCAGAAGCATTGTAAGTATTGTGTCCATTACATTATTGTTTGATATTTAAAGTGGTCTGTAATTGATTGTAATTAATTGTGTGTAGAACTCTCTACGGCTGGCTTGATTACAGAAAACATGAAAAAAAATTTATTGTAAGGCACTTGTGAGATAACACCAGTTTCTTAATTGTGATGTCTTCATGGTTATTTTGGCCTTTTATAATGTAATCTTTATGTATTTTTATCTTGTGATTTTTATTGAATGGCCAAGCAAAAAGAGACTATTTTAGATTCCAAAATGCATTTTGGGTGTATTGTTTACATATTAGATTTAATTATTGTAAAATCTCTGTTTTGTAAACTTAAATATAAAATAAATTTAAGAAATTTTGTGTTAATATTCACTGGTGTGATAAGCCCTAATGTAAATAACTGGTTTAAGTTAATAGAAATGTTTAATGAAATTAAGGCAAAAAACAAAGAACTATTTAAAAAGATATTTAATTTAATATTATACATGTAATTTTTTAATCAACAATTATCACATGTTAATTGTTGATAATTAAACATTCAGCTTATTTTATATATTATTAAATCTATATACAGTAGAGCATCATTTATCCGAAAGAATTCCAGTCAGTAAATTTAAATTTTCGCTAGTGCTGTGGCGCTGCAATCTTTGGCTATATCTTGGGCTACTCCAATATTTTTTTGTTGATGTGTATGATTTAGCTGACAGCACTGGCACTTTTGTGTGGTGTTTGTCTGAGGACTGTGTGTCATGTTAAATCGAACGTTTTTGATACTAGATTAACTTCTAAAGTATAATTTTTTTTGTTTTTATATTTTTCAATATATTTATTTTGCTTGTAAAAAATAAAAAAATAATTTTTAACGATACAACAGCCACGATTATTATTTTAAAAAGTTTACATTAGACTTAACATCGACGAAAATTCAACGCAAAGCGACATGCAACAGAGAAAAATTTTAACATGGGATAGGTTAATATATTTTTTTGTACATAATCGGTCATCCGAAAAATAAGTTATCTGAATGACCCCAGTCCCCAATTGATTCGGATAAACGACGCTCTACTGTAATTAATACAAATAATGCAATATTAATATGATCAACTAAACTTAAATTCAATATACAGTCAAATCTCTGAACCATCACTACTGATGACAATACAAAAGTGGTTGTTTTGAGGAGAGCACAAAATTGCACAGGTGGTTAAATTGATAAAAAAACTTATTACTTTTAACATTGTAGAAAAATCAAAAAAAAAAAAAAAAAACTTTTTATATAAGTTCTTCTCTAAACACAAACATCCAGAGAGGACAAAAGGAGCAAATTGTCCTGGCCATGAGAAAGTAGGAGCCCCCATAATATTTTTATTCACTTAATTCTTTACTTTGATATAATAATTTAATTTGCTAGGGCTAAATATGTATTGTGGCCCAGGTGCCCATTTACTCTGGTTGGCCCATCTCTAACACACAGAAAAGCCCTAAAAACACATTTGGATCAATCTTTTATTGGTAGGCTATGACCTGTGTTCTCAGCTGGTGGTAATAACACTACACAACAAATTTTAACTTTCATAATTTTTCTTGATATTTGCTGCATAATTTTGTTTAATCTGTTATTTCTCATGACTAAACTAAGAACAAAATATTTCTATCACATCAGGATATGAAAATAAAAGCAAACTTATTACAGTAGAACCTCGAAAACTCGGCTCTCGATAACCCGGCACTCTGGATAACTCGGCCACACCCTGGCAGGGCAAAAAAATCCTTAGTTAATTAATTTTCATTATAGATAGCTTTATAAAAGTATAAAAGTTCTCATAAAGTATTTTTCTGAAATCTGTCTTATCGGGTAAATTACTGTACACAGTATATTCATGAATTTTCATTTTCATGTAGTAAAGGCTCTATGCCTTCATAAAGGACGTACTTTTCCTTTGTTTAAGGGTATTTGGGCAGTTTCTTCTCTGTTGTATTCTCAAGTAAACAATACATACAAGTACAGTAAAGTATTTTTTGAGGAAACACTCATACTTATTTTTTTTAACCCCATTCCCGATAACCCGGCACTTTCACAAACTCGACTACCCTTCGGTCCACATTAGGCCGAGTTTTCGAGGTTCTACTGTATCAACTTTATTTAGAAAACTAAGTCAATTGTATCAATAGTAATAAAATATGAAGATAACTATCTCTGGTGTTCTAATTCTCAATTTTGTGTTATAATTGAATTTTGCAATCAATAGAGAATTTTGAAATAATAACAATTCAATATATAATGAAGACCCAATTAAATTTGCATATTTTCAAAGAAAACTGCTAAAGAGAACAGCTGATTTGTTGAGAAAGATTAAGACAGCTTGCTTGAACAAAAATCCACCTAATCAAAAAGAATTTACAAGACTATGTTTGTTGATGTCTTAGGCAGCAGAGAAATGTTTCTCTTGCAAAAGCTGCCCTCAATTGAGAATTATTGATGGAGTAGGATATTCTTGCAATTTATCTAGTGGAGACAAAGTTGTGATTCTTCATAATAAATCTTCCTTGCATACTGCTGGAGAAACCCAGCAATA